TTAGTTGGGATAAAGTTAAACAAAAAGCTGGGAGGTTGAAAAAAATGTTTGACGCAGAGTTCCTACTTCGGACTGCTATTAGCCTTGGTTGGGATCCAATTAAGAAGAAACCAACCTGCACCGATCAATATTGGCAACAATTTGTCAATGTAAGTTCATCGTCTGATTTTCATAATTGTTGTATGCCTTGCTGTTTTACTTGATTTACATTAATCTTACCCCCTTCATCACACTAAAAGAAATATTCCATACTTTATCATTGACGAAAGGGATTTACTCTATTATTTTGATTGTTATTATTAAACGTACACACTGATGTTAAGCTTTGTTACTGTATATACAGAGCCATCCTGAGGTTGAAAGGGCAATGAGGAAGCCCTTAGCAGATTATGATTTGTATTACTGCGCATTTACGAATTCACATGCCACCGGTGCAAATGAGTACGCCCAAGAAGAAACCCCTATAACTCCACCACATCCCCCAGAACATATTCCAGGCAGCCCCATTGACATTGACGAAGGGTCCCACCAGTTCAATGACACAATCGATACTTCATATACAGACATGAGGCACGATTTAAACAGTGGTAGCCGAATACCACACGTTGCCTCACAATCTCGTTTAATTAATAAATGGTTAACTAGAAACAGTCAGACACGCATACCAACCTTTATAGAGCGTGTCGTGGATCGCCTAGTATCATCTATTGAAAATAGTGGTCGCAATCGAGGTAAAAGTTTCGGCACACCAAATTTGGTTGAAAAAGAGACGTTTGATGACAAATTGATGAGTGCGTAATTTATGCACTCATTCGTTACTCCTTTAGCTAGTTTCGGCTTGTTCTTCTTCAAGTTGTTATGTGGATTTGATGACTTTCCCTTGAGTGTGTAGGAAAGGGTGAAATCACTGAGTTTTGAGGCATTTTGGATAAAAAAGACAGAGAACGAGGCAATATGGCGCCTTCAGATGGCGATGCGGCTCGAAAAGGAGCAAAATCGAGCAAACTTGTACGAAGGAACAACGAGAGCTACGACATGTCGCTTCCTTTTCGGCGATATGTCGCTGCCTTAGTCTGGTGCATAGATAACAGCGAGAGCTGCGATATGTCACCTGTTTCTAGGCGATATGTCGCCTCTCGATTTTATTAAAAATACATGTTTTGCCCTAGGTTGGGGGCGCAGATTTTTATGGAAAGTCATTGGCTTCTTGGGAGGCGTGCTGGATGTGGGATATAAAAGGAGAGACTAAAAACTAAGAAAAGGGGAGAGAAAAAGGGTTTGCAAAAGAAGAAAAACTGAATCGGAAAGGATTGGAAAATTGGAGCAGTTCTTCAAGAATTCCAAGCGTTCTTTCTCCTCTTTCTTCTTGTATTTTTCTAGATTTTGAATATTATTTTGAGACTATGAACCACATGATGTGTGGCTAATTTTCTTATTTGTTAGGGTTTAGATGAATCTCTATTTGTGATATTTGTTTCGATGTTTTAATGTGCATTTAATTAAAGCTCTTCGTTTCTTTCGTGTTCTATTTTGAATTATTGCTGCCAAATCTATGATTTACATATTGCTATGCTTTATGAGATTTTGAATTGGGCAAATTTAGATTGTGAGGATTAATACTCGAGAGGGGAACGTTCAAGCAATCAAGAAACAGGTAGAACAACTTAGGTTGGTGTGAGATCGAGAGATAAACATTGCCTAGGTAACCAAAACAATTTTAGGTTGTGAAATTGAGAAGTGGAATTCCAGGAATTGTTTCTAGAGTGGAACTTAATGAAGGTAGGGATGAATAGTTGTATAGAGATATATGCTTGATATCACCTACACATTCTTTATGCGGCACTCGAGAGAGGGTATAAGGATACACATCACTCTAGGTTCTTGAGAACGTTGAGTTAGGTTAGGCACATTACTACGGAGAAACATAATCACAATAGAGTGAAGTCAAGACCCTAGCATTTTCATTATATTGATTTTCCGTTTTAATTTCAGCACATGTTATTCATTACTGTCATCTTTTCTTTTGATTTAGTTTTCCTTTATTTTAGTTTTTCTTTGAGTTTATCACATCCAAATTTGATCGCTTAGATAAAGTAAGATATGATATTCGCAATAGTTAGTTTACATTCTTAACATCAATCCTCGTGGGACGATATCGATCTTCGGACCACTTTATTACTTGTACGACTTGTGCACTTGCAAGCATAGTCAAAGTATATGCAACACAAATGCATTGATTTACTTGGAGAATTAGAAATATCGCAAGATCAATATCTTTTCATATTCAACTTTTTGACTTCAGATGCTACACTTCAGCGGCCATTTTTGCGCACGAAGGATCCCCATCATTGGCTTGGATTCAACAGACGATGGAGCAACATTCAAATCAGCAAGTCCCGCCTCCACCACCAACCTTCATGCATGGATCACCGCATTTTCAGTCTAACAATCCAATAAACCAGCATTTCTCACACTTCTTCCACCCAAATAACCACACATTCCAGCCGACCACTAGTAATTTTCAACCATACATACCCCCAAACTTTCCACCATATTCTGGCCAAAATGGAGGAGATAGTGGTTGACATCCTCACTAATTACAATAGTTTTTATTTTCAATCCGTTGAGTTGTCATTGACGTTGTTATGTTCTTCTTGTTGTTGGTTTTTATTTTAATTCATTCATTGCACTCTATGATTATGAGATATGGGTATTTGAGCTTGTTTTAGATACATATTAACAATTGGTCCAATTTTGGGTTATTTGAGGACCACAGATATTTATAATGTATGTAAACATTGTTGTTGTTGTTGTTTAATGAGTATTTATTTGACCTATAATAGATGACTAATATTACTTCATTTATATGTGACTCTCTTGTTCTTGAAATCACATATGGATTCAACAGGTGATGGGAAAATGCTTTAATTTGCATATTTCTTAAACCCCCAAACTTTCATGTTCTTAATTGGAAAATTTGACAGGCATGGATCACCATAGGAACGATTGTACAAGGGGCTCTACTACATCAGACAACAATAGTGACGACGAATTTTTCAGGCAAGTTGTCGCGGCTGCAACTTTGTTATGCATTAGATTTGTGTGCAAAGAACCATCACGCCAAAGGCACACTTCTGGCTGGGGAGGTAGGCTTAGAGTGGATTACTATCTCACTAGAAGTGCAGAAGTGATTTACGACAAAGTTCACATAAGTAGTGACGCTTTTAGATGCCTATCTTCTATCCTTAAGGAAAGGGGATTACTGCAACTGACAGTCTACCTAAATGTCGAGGAGTAATTATTCATATTCCTTACAATACTGTAACAAGGAAGAACTAATAGGGAGGCGTAAGACCATTGGCAGGGCTTGGGATCCACGGTATCAGAGTATTTCACGGAAGTTCTTGAAGCGGTTTGCCAATTAAAAACAGACTTCATAAGGCATCCAGATTTTTCTACCGTGGATCCTTACATAATTGCAGGTGGGAACAAGTATTCACCGTGGTTCGACGTAAGCCACGAACTTATTACATATATTTATTAATCTACATCATAAATTTAGTCATATTTTATCACAAAATGAGTTTAACTAACACATAACATAACAACGGACGTATTTTGTTAATTTGAAGGATTGTGTTGGAGCACTAGATGGTATGCACGTTCCATGTATGCCTCCTCGTGAAACGACTAAACTTTACAGAAATAGGAAGGGGTTCTTTTCGCTTAATGTGCTCGCAATTTGCTCATTTGATATGAGATTTAAGTACATGCTATTTGGCTGGGAGGGTTCAGCACACGATGCGAGAGTACTTACGTCCACCTTAGATCACCCACGAAAATGATTTCTGAAGCCGCCACCAGGTAACTGGAAGAAACGTCTTTCTATATCTAGCCAATTCGTAAACTGCATCCAGATTATAATTGTTGATTGTGATTACTTAAATACGTGTAGGAAAATTCTACCTCGTCGACTTGGACTACACTAACAACGGATGTTTCATGGTACCATATCGGAGAACAACATACCATTTGCAAGAGTATAGGAATCGATGTGGTACCGTAGAGGCTTTCGTAGTGAACGTGAATTGTTCAACTACACTCACTCCTTCTTGCGTAATGTAATTGAAAGAACATTTGGTGTGTGGAAGGCCATGTTTCGTATTTTGAAAAGCATTAACCGTTACCCCATTGAAAAGCAGGTTAAGATTCCAGTTGCATGTGCTATAGTCCATAATTTTATCCACATGTACCGTAATGGAGACAGACTATTGGATCAGTACGCACAAAAAGGCGTTCCGGTTGCGGACATTGATCCCCAGAATGTTGAAGAGGATATCAATGACAATAACAACCGCGAAGGACAACCATTGAATTATAATGCAGAATTGGAGATGAATTCGTGTACCGTAATCGTCGTACGCGCTAATAATTCAAACTTTTGACGTTGAAGTGATATGATGTTAAATTACATGGTGTATGTAGACTTATGTTATTAATTATGTATATATTGTTGTCCTTTTGCTTTCCATTCATAATGAAAACTATACTTCTAGTAATTTTTTATATGATATTTTAATTTATTAAATGAAAAAAATGCCTATTTTATTTTTAAATTTATTACTAGATGATTCACTTTTATTTATACATCTTTTTAATTACCTAATGACCCATTCTTCGTAATTATTTATATTTAATTCTAATTATACAGATTTAATTGTATAAAATCAATTAAATGAAAGAAATAAAAAATATTAAGGATACTATTCACAGCTCAAGTATTAGTACAAACAAATACAACTCAAATAGATTCTAATATCAAACTATAATTTAAATTTACATAACTAAACACAAACTTAAATTACAATTTAAACTCAACTTAAGATCTACACTCAAGTCAGGGGTAAAAGAACAAGCCCTAATTGTCAATGTTTTAAGAATGGAGGGACCATTTACTAAAGAACTGAGGGACCAGGGTGGAAATTACTCATACAAGAAGAAAGAAATGCTTTTGTTCTTTTTCTCTTTTCCAGGGAAGCAAAAGGAAAGTCTTGTGGAAGAAGGTTCTGCTTGAGACTGGAAATCCAATTCCGTCAGGTAACGCCATTGTTGAGAGCTCCAAACATAGGTTTTATAATAAACCCTCACTCAACCAAACACCATTGAAAAAACCCTAACCTTTCTCATGCGCTTATTGTAATTGATAATCAATGGCTTTGTCGGAGATCGAGGTGGTCTCCTCGGAATCCAAACCCGAGACAGCCCCCGCCGAAGTGGCCGTCTTCGATGTCTTCTCCGCTTCCGCTTACGGCGATTTCCAGAAACTTCGGAGCTTCGTCGAACAAGACGGCGCTTCTCTCTCTACACCCGACGCCAATGGCTATTACGCCCTTCAATGGGCCGCCCTCAACAACTTCCCCGACATCGCGCACTACATCATCCAGGTATTTCTCGTGTTTTCTGCCAATGATTTTGTCGCATGTTGTCGTCCCTTTATTTATTTATTTTTGGGTGGAAATTTCGAATTAGGGATCAAGAGGAAAATGGAGATGTAGGAAATTGTTGCAGCTTTATAGGTCAATTTTGAAATTACTTTGTAAGTCGCCAAAATATAATTTTTTTAGCACTTTAATATTATCAAAGTTTTTAACTTTAACCCATTAGAACAACAAGGGGCTTTGTGATGTCAATGCCTTTGAAAGGACATTTAAAGTAGCGTTTTTTTTTTCTTTTTTTTTTTGGGTATTTAAGTATGAACGAAGAAGTTAGGTTTAATCTGGTTGAATCTAGATTGAACCCTTTATAGTTGAACTTTTTTTTTTTCTTTTTTTTGTGTTCAAGCACGGTGGTGATGTCAATGCAACCGATAACATGCAACAGACGGCGTTGCATTGGGCGGCAGTGCGGGGTGGGATAGCCGTGGCGGACGTGCTCTTGCAAAATGGAGCCCGAGTCGAGGCTGCTGATATAAATGGGTACCGGGTAATTATATCACTTGGCTTATCTTATTCTTTTCGAGTTGTGAAAGAAGTTCGAGTAATAGATGCGTTGATAACCTGTAAGTTTTCATTTTCTCAAGTTGGTTATGAAAGAGCTATGCTTTTCTTGTGCTTTTGGATTGTTTTATGGTGGAAAGTGGGGCTATATTTGTTTTATAAGTTAGCCATGGTTTGCGTGTGATGGATTTTAATGTCGAAGTGTTTGTTTTCTGCAGGCGGTTCACGTTGCTGCTCAATATGGACAAACTTCTTTCTTGAATCATATTGTTGCCAAGTATCATGCTGATTTTGATGTACCCGATAATGAGGGGAGAAGTCCTCTACATTGGTATGTCAAAAAATTTTGCTGTGCAGGATGTAGCTTGTTGCATTAGCATTTAGCATTTATAGAATACATATTGGCAAATTTCCATTGAAATTACATCAGAAACTAGTAGAACTTGATTTTTTAAGTGGCTGCAGTGCCAAAAGTTCTATTTTCAAATTCTGTTCCTAGTCAACATCACAAATCATGATATGTATTTTTTTTATTCTTTTAAGACTGTTCACTAATGAATTAGGAAGTTAGATGCTGCATCTTTATTTTGTAAATCTTGAAATAATCATCATCTTGCTGTTATTAAATTGATCCTTATGATATTTTGAAACAGGGCTGCCTATAAGGGATTTGCAGATACAATTAGATTACTTCTGTTCAGAGACGCATGCCAAGGGAGGCAAGATAAAGAAGGTTTACTTGCGGGCATATCTTTTTTCTTAATCATCATGCTTTATAATTATTCAGTTGTCAGTTTATGAACTTTATTGCCTGCTATGAAGGGGTGAGGATTATGTAGATGTTAAATGATATGTGGTAGGAGAATAGTGATGATACGAAAAATATGCAATGTTCTCATGAAAACTATGTAAAGATGTTATATGCTAATGTGATAGGACATCAGTTTATTAATTAATGAAAAAGGATACTCCATCATTTTATGATTAATAGCTTAAGTTACTGAGATTGGGACCTTTTCTAACCAAGTATACGGTAAGACATTTGGTTTCTTCCCCCTTTCTTTCTTAGGTTTTACTCGTGTTAATAATTTTGCTTCATGAGGTGAGGATTTGTATTATTTCATATCCTTAGGTTGTACCCCATTGCACTGGGCTGCCATGAGGGGAAACGTGGAGGCTTGTACAGTGCTTGTACATGCAGGTACAAAGCAGGAACTTACAGTGAAAGACAATGCTGGATTTACTCCAGTTCAGCTTGCATCTGATAAAGGTCATCGGAATATCGCTTTTCTCCTCGTACGTAACTTTTTATTAATGTTGCTTTTGGTAGCATACATATTTTATTTATTATTTTGTGTGTTTGGGTGCTTGTGTGAGAGAGAGCGTGGTACCTATGTATGTATAAGTACTCCAGTCTCTTGGTTTCCTTGTATTTTGTTTTTAAGAGAGAGAGTGGTATCTATGTACACCAGTCTCTTGGTTTCCTTGTATTTCGTTTTTACTTTTAGATGGTTTCTCATTTATCTTGAAACTTCATGTGTATTATATTTTTAATGAAGTTTTTGTTTCCTGTAATATATATATATATATATATATATAGGTTCTGCTAGTACAACCTTTTATTTTTGAAGATATGTTGGTATAGGCTTTGACAAATCTTGTGAAATGAATACTGAATGTAAAGGTATCTGATCAATCTTGTGTCCATTTCCGTTCATATGTTCTTTTCTCCATTAAACATTACTTCTACTTTTATCACGACACACATTTTTGTATGCAACCCTTCAACTTCATTATCTTAGTAGAGAAGAGTTTATGTTTTTTGTTCTCTTGGAAAAATAATTATTTTACCTTTCAGGCCTCCCCTCCCCTTAGATTTCTAGCTTTATCTTGTATGCAAATTACTTTTGTTTCTCTCCCTTTTAATGGGTCACCTAAAAAAGAATTATAATTTCATTTTGCAGTCTAATGCACAGAAAGCTCACAACAATTGGTGGAGAGACAAAATTTTTAGTGGGAAGATCGTAAATAAGGGTTATGCTCCTATTTTATCGTGCATCATAGTAATTCTCATGATTCTCTTCATGAACTCAGTTCTTGCAGGTGAGTGAATTGTAGCCTTCCTTATTTTTCTTGAAATAAAAGATGGGCATATGTTCCTTTATTTACCACGAGACTAACTTTGAACTACTCATCGTTAGCTCCTAATCTGACGAAGGTGACTGCTGTTGTTGGCCTTTGGGGTTGGACTGCTATATCTCTAGCTGTTGGGGCATTGATAATGTTCTATAGGTGTAGTAGGTAATGCTCGTCCTACCATGCTTCTATTTGTTATATTTGCTTTAGAATTTCAAGCTGAATGCTCCGTCTCATTGTGCTCGTCCCCTGGAAGTGGGAGCCTATCCCTTTTTCGGATACAATCGTATGGCTGTTTGAACAGAAGTTGGAAAACTTTGGTATATTTTTCCATAAGATTTTGGTATCTGTTTGAGAAATGACTCTAATTTCAGATAAGACGTGTGTGTGTGCATGTTGGTTTGTGGAAAATTAAGTTTTTTGGATTAAAGGCTTCTAAAAGTTCAAGACTTTTTGCGGAAAAGGAAATGGGGGTAGTAGACATTTTTGAAAAGGTTAAGTGCGTAGCCTCATTATGGGCTTCAACAGACAAAGCGTTCAAGGAGATCCCAATTTCCTGGATCATTTTAAATTGGTTGGATGTAGCAGGAAGATGGTTTTGAGAACTAGGGAGGTTTAGCTTCTTTTTAATTTTGTTTTTGCCAGATTTTTGGCCTTTTTTTTTTTTGGTTGATTATGAGGTATCTCATCCTCCTTACTTATAATTGACTTCTTTATGTAGAAAAGGGTTTTTCCTCTCACAACAAAAAAAGGAGCTTCTGAATGTTTATTTTTTTGGATTAAAGGCTTCTAGATATCTCATGCTTAGTGATACAAGTGATCATATTCCTTGTAGAATACTTTGACTTTGGCATTTTAGTATAGTTACCAAAACTTCTTTAATAACTTCTCTTTTGATTTTCTGCAGTAAAGATCCGGGCTATATAAAAAGACCAGGGGACTTAGGTAGCTCTGCTGATACAGAGGTATGCACTCTCTCTCTCTCTCTCACACACACACACACACACACACACATTGTTGTACCTTTCAACTTCCAATTGCTGCTGAAGGGAAGTTTTATTCTCTCTCTTCTCTCAACATCTTTGGAACATTGGGAACGGAACATAATTGGCTCTCTCTCACACTCGATTCGTCTCTCTCTCTCTCTCTCTCTCTCTCAAAGCCCTCAACATCTTTGGAACATTGTTAACGGAACATAATTGGCCTGATCCTATTCTCGATTCATGATCAAACATTATCCTGTTAATGTTTTAAAAATAGACTTTATGTGAATGATCTCATTCATGATTGATTGATGAATCACAATTATCCATACATGAATACAAATAATTATCTGATAAGTGTTTTAAGATGCTTTTGGAACCAATGTGTGAGCGGATGGATGCTGTAGTACAATTAAGTAGAAGATGATATGATACTTGATATTTTTGTAACATAGATGTTGCAAAAAAGTTCATGTTATAAACTACTTTGGACCCAGTCTTAGTTAGGGTTGATTATGCTTTCTGGGCCTTATTATGTTGGATTATCCTTATGGAACTTGGTTAAGATATGTTATTCTGACATTGCAGGATGCTCTGTTGAATATTGATCTGAACTGTGCCGCCGGGTGGACTGGAAATTGGTCCCAACTTTGTCCCACCTGCAAGGTACACTTTTTGAACTTCAAGTTGATTTAAAAGGATAACTACCACTTCTGGACGCACCTTATTCTTGAGATTCTGGTTAATTGTTTGGGGCTTTTTCTCGTTTTCTTTCATTTCAGATAATTAGACCTGTTCGTGCTAAGCACTGTCCTACATGTAAGCGATGTGTAGAACAGTTTGATCATCACTGTCCATGGATATCCAGTTGTGTGGGGAAAGTAAGATTTCTACTTGCTATCCTAGTGCAGGATAAAGGAGATTCATATACTTCCTTTTCTTGGATGGTTTAATTTTAATTCTTTGCCATTAACAAATTGTGGTTTGGGCCCTGTTTGGGCTTCTAGTGTCCCCTTCTCATTCGCCACTAATATTAAGGCTCTTTTATCATTTCTGATCAATTTGATGAATTTTTGTTGAGTGGATGAAACAAGCTCAGTGAAATATAGTATAGTTTTCTTGTTTTTGTTTTTGCAGTTTCAACAGTTTTCTCGTTTTATCTCTTTCCTTATTACCAGCTTCGTCTTTTCATTATCTTGCATCTTGCAGAGGAACAAACGAGATTTCTTCATATTTATCTGCATGGGGACATTAACGTCATTCCTGTCTGGTGCCGTTGCATTTCAAAGTATGTTGTACCAGACAACTTGAAATTATATCTGTCCTTGGTGATATGTTATCAAACGACTCATTTTGGTCTAATAAACGACCTTATTTTGTTGTGGCAGGGATATGGACATCAACACCAACATTATCATTTGAAGAAACATGGATTCATTACGTGATAGTGAACCATCCTGGTATTGTTGCATTTTTGCTTGGGGACATCATTGTCTTCATTGTTGTTACAACTCTGACCACGGCACAGGCCTCTCAGGTAATTGACAAAAACTGTTTTTTTTTTCCCCCTACCAGGATTAAAAATCATTACTTAATACTCAAGCTAGTAAAAAGAATAATGTTTGCAAAGTCCGTCAATTCTGAACCTGCATCATCTTGCAATACTATTATTGTTGAATGCAAAATACTACGCTCTTTACCCTTCTCTTTGCCTCCTTTGAAACCTAAGTGTTAGTTTGTGGCTTGTGGGCAAGTTATTATGGAGTTTCCATGTTTCTGATACAGATAGCTCGAAATATCACCACTAATGAATTAGCAAATGCTGTTCGATACGGGTATCTTCGTGGGCCAGATGGTCGATTCCGTAACCCCTATAATCACGGGTGCCGAAAGAACTGTGTAGATTTTGTCATACGGGGCTACACGGATGACGAGGAAATTGCTTGGCCTCCATTGCATCAAGTTGCTAACTAGATCTGCTATCATGATATTTCTTCAGTTATTTTTTATTTTTTTAGTTCCCTTTTTATTTTTATTTTTATCCATCATTGGTTATGAGTGGGAATTCCTTTCAAGGCAAACGCTCATAGGTTGATTGCCATGTAGGTCCCATTCGTTTTTATATGCGATTGAGCCTTGATCATCTAGAAACTTAAACTCTATAGTTAGTTATTTGTACAGTTGAAATAATTTGGCAGTTAAAGAAATAAATTATTTGATTCTCTTTTTGCTGTAGCGAAATGATTTCTGTTGTTTTGTTCTGGTTGAACTTGTCATCTGTGATCTGTAAATCCAAGAAAAGTCCCAACTCATTCTCACAACACAATCTACTTTGATCAAAAAGTGGTTTTGAATAACATTTTGTTCAACATGACCTAAATCGATTGTCTTCCAATGTATCAAACATAACATGTAGGGCAACCAATGTCGTATCATAAAGTATCATAAATCATTCTAACGTGTCAAACACAACCAATTGGTTGGTCGTGTTCTGATTAAAAAAAACAAAACGACTAAGTTGGTTCAGTTGGAAATTTGTACAATCAATCAATTGAACCAAATTAAGTAAAAGAAATTGTGGAGTTTTTAAAAACGCCATTAATAAAATAACACTATTTTATTTCTCTAATTGGTGTTAAATTTATCTTATGCTATTAATAATTTGCAGGTTATCATTTAGTATATTGTAGGTTATTTTTCATAGTGAAATTAAAATTTTGTATAATAACATAAGTAATAGAATTGGAAAAACAATGATTAAACTTGGAAGTTTTCTCAAAGAAATTAGACCTACTTTAGCCCAACGCATGCGCGGCATAAATTTACAATTTACACCAATTATCAATCTATCTCCATAAAAGAGTTGCTGATTTGCATGTCAGAAAACAGATAATGAAAAATTAAACGTTCTTCATTTCCTGAATACCACAGGAAAATAAAATAAATAAATAAAAAAGAAGACTCAAAGGATCTTCTTGTCTTTATCTACCAAAGTCGGGCGTTTCAACATCATCCATTGTTTTGCGTTAGTATAGACGGTAAGTGATACAAATTGTGAGAAGCAAAGCAGCATAATCAAAGCTTCAAAAAGGAAAGGATATCTGCGGGGCGGATTCACGGTCACGTAAACTACATGAAGAATGAGTGCACAGAAAAGGAAAAATGCCGTCAAAAACGATCTCAAGGAATTTGCTTCTCCGGTAGCTTGGGCTCGAGTAGGCCCCGCACGGTTGAATAGGAAAAAGAGCGGGGATAGAGCGATGTAAGGTAGAACCAGTTTGTCTCGCACTACAAGAGGGAACATTGAGAACAAGGCGTAATGTGTCATCCAACTATGAACAAAAGGCTCTTCAATTGCTAAAAGACTTGCTGGGAGGAGAGGCAGCAGAATTGACTTCTCATGCACTGTGAATTCAAATATACACCATTAATGCAAGTTCATGGAAGGGAACTACACTGACTCCCTGTGTTTTGTCTAACCATAACATTTTACGTCAACAATCCCCTCATCTTTGTTGACTTTTGATGTAACAATCTCAACAATCAATCTACTTTTTGTATTGATCTTTTCCCTTTATAACGACATTTTTCCACCATTAAAGTGCAAGTTATAGTTGTGAGTGCCCAAAGATCACTTGACATCACTTTTATTGACTCAACAAGGGTAAAAACGAAAAACGTCATTTTTGGGCCCTAAATGTAGTTGATATCAATTTCTAATTCAGGGAGCGGTTATTTCGCCATTAGAAAATATTTAACAGTCAAAACTCCAGTTTTCCATCAGGTTTGACTAGCGGAGATGTCTATGTAACTATTTTTAAAATTCAAGGGTTATTTCGGTCAGGGGTAGCCTTTGTAATTTAGGCAAAATACAGGAGGTCTCAATGTAAAAAGGCCCTCATGGGAAAGAACATGAAGCACCAACTATCAGAGAAATAGTGAAAAACGGAGGAGATAAGTTAGCCTACCTTGGAAGGAGAACAAGTAAAATGAGAAAGCACTGTTAAGCAACCCGTAAAGGAAGCCTTGCTTGCTTGGAGCCCATATCTGCTGAAACATTGAAGGCAGACAAGCTGAGATAGTTGCACAAAAGCTGAGAAGCTTCAATGATGGTGTTGTAAACAATCTTTTCCATTTTATAAGAACTGAAGTGGTGCACCAAAAATTAGCCACATAGTCCTCATATATCCCTCTCTCAAAGGGAGCTAGACGAGAAAGAACCTGTCCATTTACCAAGCTTTACACAAATCAATATCAACAATCGAATAAAAGATGGAAAGAAAGACTTTCGAGAACATTTTATGGCCCACGATACTAATTTAGTACATGTTTACTAACTTGCAATTGAATGCAATAGGCGTGTTTACAAGCCATTTATGTTTCTTTACATAGAAAGCAGAATTAGAAACAAGCCATTTTCCTTTCTAGTGTTTATTAACTTTAAGAATTGTTAGCTGATAAGATTCTAACTAGAACATAGAAAAATGAACAGAAAAGATGAATCTTTATCGAAGAAGATTGATGAATTTGAGTACAATTCTACAAACCCTAATAATGGTGGTATTCGAGAGACCACCCACTCTCCCCAGGTTCCCCCTAATTCCCATAAACCAAATCCATAATCCCTCCTCAATTGCTTATTCCCCTTTTATACTACTAACCCCACCTCTAACAAACTACTAACAATTATTACAAATCAGTTACACTCTAACAACCCCCACTAACAATACTCTAAAAGCCCACTAACCAAACTAACTTCTCAAGCTTATCATTAGCGAGTCCTATCATTATCCTGATAGGTTAAGTACTAAAATGGCCTTGGGCATATAGTTATTAGTTAAAATTTCGTACCGCTACAAAAGTAATTTTGTGGTCTATTTTAATCTAATTGAAAGGGAAAGAATACCATGAGGTAATTTAGGATTGACTTTCCCTTTACTCATTACCAACATCACAGAGGCCCCACCAAAATAACATTCTCATTAACACATGGATATTTCATCCAAAAAAAGTACACACATGAATAGGTGGGAAAAGGGAAGCATTCCTTCCTTTTCCTTTCCCGTTCATGACAAGTAAAGATGCCCTTAATATTACTGAGAAAAGAAGAACAATGGAAAGACTTTCATTCATATGAATACTGAAAAGAATTACCCTACAATCAGAACAACTTCCCCAAATGTTCCCTTATGTCCCTTGAAAGTTCTTCTTGCCATTAGTCAATAAAATTTACCTCAACGAAGTGGCCTTTGACAAGCTAGAGTTCAGAACGTTTCATTTTTTACAAGTCATCAAATGTTTCTTTTGAACTGCTTTTGCTACAAATTTACCGACAAGACGATGCAATTCATGCAAGTTTTGGTGCCCAAAAAGGGCAACTTTAACAAATACATGAAATGATTGAGACACTCGAGCACATACCGATTCCTGGGAATGACTTTACAAATGTAATATGGATACATAATTTTCCTCATTCATTCATTTAAAGTTGGTTTAAACAGCAAATTATGAGCTACGATTTCAACCAGCATATAAGATTTTTTTATTTCTTTTTTCACAGAGTTAAGATTTAAGAATACCAACAGCATAATTCAAGATCAAATTCCTTCTATTTTTTAAACCGCCCAATACAATCACAAAAAATGATTATCAAGTAAATAGTGGAAGAACACAAACATTACTGTTTCCCCCCATAATGATGATTAGCGCTTACCTGCAGAAAGGCTTCCATGGAATAGAGATATGGCCACCAGATGACAGCAAATGTTCCCAATACCACAATGCCCAGTTTTAGCACCTCAAGAAGTGGATTTGAACGCCTCAGACATTTACCCAAGAGATGGCTGAAAAATGCAGGTGCAAAATATGCACTCATCTGCAAAGCAAACAAAGAATAAACCGCATTATAAAAAACATTATTCATTAAACCAAGAACATGATCAATATATGACCATTTGAAAAACCATGTTCAGATTATGAAATTCTTTTCTAAAATGTCAAAATTTTATGTAAAACCATGTTACCTTAGCCATGGAACAGACAATGTACAAACTTCAGAAACAAGAGCCAATTGGCTATTTTTTCTTTTTTTCTTTTTTGAAAAGAAACGAGACTTTATTAATAAATTAACAAATTAACAAAAGAGAACTAGGAGAGAAGAGGAAGAGTTATCTTCAACCAAATCAAGCTCCCACTATACAGGACCAGCAGCATATAAGTTAAACAAAAACAAAACACTCAGGACAAATCTATAAAAAGTGACCCCAGTTCCTAAGGAACTCCGAAAAAATTGGCTTCCCAAATTCTTTATCTCTATATACCCATTGTGGGTAAAATAGTCCAAATCGGGTTTGATTAGGATAAATTAGTTTGGAAGATTTAGGATATTCAAATCTTTCCTTATCTTCTCCTAGTGATTATCCGGGATTGTTTAGGATTAGGAATTAGGTAATAAAATCTGATTTGAATATTAAATTCAAATCAGTCACTTTATTAGGAGATTATCTTTCCTTTTTATTCGGATAAGCCAACTAGCTTGGCTGCCTATTTATTTGTATTTTTTCCGCAATATTCAATAAGATAGAAGAGTATTTCTCTTTCAAATCTGTCTTCATGGTATCAGAGCCACTCTTTGAAACCTAATTTTTCTGCCAACCGGAATGACAAAATACGGGATGGCCAGCGGGAAAGAAACCTCATCATCCGAGGTTACCTCTGCTTCTTCAGGGGCTGTTAATCCGATCCAAATCAATGGATTTGAAGCCTCCTTTCAGCAAATCACAAGTCATAAATTCAATGGACAAAATTTTGTCCAATGGTCACATTCAGTAATGATGTTCATCGAAGGAAAGGGAAAAGAAGATTACCTCACCGGCGATGCTGCACAACCAGATGAAAAGGATCCCAAGTTTAAAACTTGGAAGACAGAGAATAGCATGGTTCGGTCATGGCTGATCAATTCCATGAATACCGAGATGGGAGAGAACTTCATGTATTACAAAACAGCAAGAGAGATGTGGGATGCAGTGAAGCGGAGTTACTCCAACAGGGAAAACACTTCAGAGATTTTCAGGCTAAAGGGAATTCTAAGTGATCTTCATCAAGGAGAATTAAGCATAACCGAATACTTTAATACTCTATCACGCCATTGGTAGCAACTGGACATCCTTGACGAATCAGCTTGGCATTGTGCCGAGGATCATAAGCGATACAAGGAAATTCTGGAAAGAGATAGAGTTTACAAGTTTTTGCTTGGTCTCAATAAAACCTTAGATGATGTTCGTGGAAGGATCTTAAGTACAAAGCCTCTACCAGATGTTCGTGTGGTTTTTTCAGAAGCGAAGCAGGAAGAGAGCCGAAAGAAATTAATGCTGGGAACCTCCAATGGTGGTGTTATCTCAACTCCTAATGATGCTGGAAACTCAACCACAGATGCCTCTGCCTTAGCCACACGAGGACCACAATTCAACAATGAAAACCAACAAAGGAAAAACCGGCCTTGGTGTGATCATTGCAAGCGAACTGGACACACCAAAGACACTTGCTGGAAAATCCATGGAAAACCAGCAAACTGGACTCCTCGGAAGCAGAATGAAGGAAGAGGATTTCAAGCCTCTCAAGATAAGCATGGAATGGATGCTCCCACACAACAACAATCCGCAGAATCTTCAATTTCAGTAAGCAAGGAGCAGTTAGAGCAACTTTATCATCTTCTCACACCACCATCTAATCCAATTTCTAATGTAGGATTGTGCACCACGACACATAATGGTAACCATTCAGCCTTAATCTCATCACTTCATGCCCAGGAACCGTGGATCATTGATTCCGGGGCCTCTGACCACATGACAGGTTGTTCCAAACACTTTTTCTCCTATACTCAATATTCTAATACTGCTAAAATTAAGATTGCCGATGGGTCTCTAGCTACTATTGCTGGAATAGGTTCAATCCAAATCTCAAAAAACATTATTCTTCATTTTGTCCTACATGTTCCAACCTTAAAGTGTAATTTGTTGTCTATTAGCAAACTCACTCGTGACAATAACTGTCTAGCTAATTTTTTCCCTTCTATGTGTCAATTTCAGGACCTATCATCGGGGAAGACGATTGGCAGTGCTAGAGCCTATGAAGGACTTCATTTCCTTGAGAATTCAGAATCTGAGAGTCTACAAGCACATGTGTCAGGAGTGTCTTTTATTTCGGTGTCAAGTAATAAAGAAATAATGTTGTGGCATCATAGACTTGGCCACCGCAGTTTTTCCTATTTGATATTTTTGTTACCAGCCTTATTCAAGAATAAAAATACTGCTTCATTTACTTGTGATATTTGTCAATTTACGAAGCATACACGTGTACCTTTCTCACCAAAACCATATGCACCCTCTATGCCTTTCTCCTTGATTCACAGTGATATATGGGGCCCTTCTAGGGTAACAACTTTAAATGGCAAACGATGGTTTATCACGTTTATTGATGACATACACGGGTGACTTGGGTTTACTTGCTTAAGGAAAAATCTAAAACTAGCCAAATCTTTCAAACCTTCCATAAAATGGTTCAAACTCAGTTTCAGAAAAAAATTTTGGTTCTAAGAACTAATAATGACGGTGAATACTTCCAGTCCGCTTTGGGTAGTTACCTTGATCAAAATGAAATCATTCACCAGAATTCTTGTACAGAAACACCACAACAAAATGGAACTTCAGAAAGAAAGAATCGGCACCTGTTGGAAGTAGCCCGTTCCCTTATGTTCACTATGAACGTACCCAAACATCTATGGGGTGATGCCATCTTAACCGCAGCCATTCTCATCAATAGACTACCTAGCCGCCCCCTAAAATTTCAAACCCCATTGTCTGTCCTTACAACTCAAGTCCCACATTCTAATATCCTCACAAACAACCTTCCCCTTAAAACCTTTGGTTGTACTGCGTTTGTCCACGCCCATTCCCAACATCGCTCCAAACTCGACCCTCGAGCCATAAAAACCATCTTCCTCGGATATTCTCCAACAAAAAAGGGATATCAGTGTCTCTGCCCACAAACTAAAAAAACTTTTGTCACCCGAGATGTCACCTTTTTTGAAGAAGTACCTTTTTATTACCACACTTTGCTTCAGGGGGAGTAATGGTATCGAAGCTTATGTGTGGGAATGGGATGTCACAGCCACAGTTGAAGAAGCCTTGACCCCACAATTAGCCCCACAATCAGCCCCCAGTACCGACATTCCAGTTTCAGTCCAAACCGAAACTGAATTGGAAGATTTACAGTCGCCATCACAGTTGTCTTCACAGCAAGAACAATTGTCCCCCCAGTTCCGCAGCCATCTCCAAAACTGCAAGTCTACCCTCGGAGGAAAAATTTTCAAGGAAATAAACAATTCACAAGCACTGTGGACTGCCCTGAATTCGAACCTATGATATCCTCACAAACAACCTTCCCCTTAAAACCTTTGGTTGTACTGCGTTTGTCCACGCCCATTCCCAACATCGCTCCAAACTCGACCCTCGAGCCATAAAAACCATCTTCCTCGGATATTCTCCAACAAAAAAGGGATATCAGTGTCTCTGCCCACAAACTAAAAAAACTTTTGTCACCCGAGATGTCACCTTTTTTGAAGAAGTACCTTTTTATTCCCACACTTTGCTTCAGGGGGAGAGTAATGATACCGAAGCTTATGTGTGGGAATGGGATGTCACAGCCACAGTTGAAGAAGCCTTGACCCCACAATTAGCCCCACAATCAGCCCCCAGTACCGACATTCCAGTTTCAGTCCAAACCGAAACTGAATTGGAAGATTTACAGTCGCCATCACAGTTGTCTTCACAGCAAGAACAATTGTCCCCCCAGTTCCGCAGCCATCTCCAAAACTGCAAGTCTACCCTCGGAGGAAAAATTTTCAAGGAAATAAACAATTCACAAGCACTGTGGACTGCCCTGAATTCGAACCTATGGTGAGTCCTAATCCTTCATCCTCAGGTAATCCCGAAACCCTCCATGATAGACTAGATGACCCCATTGCTTTAAGAAAAGGTGTTAGGACATGTACAAAACACCCAATTTCCAAATTTGTGTCATATGATAATCTATCACCCTTGTTTCGTGGTTTCACAACAAACCTTTCTAGACTTGATATTCCCAAGACAATTGAAGAAGCTCTAGCTGTTCCAGAATGGAAGACTGCGGTGCTAGAAGAGATGCATGCCCTTGAGAAAAACGAGACTTGGAGCCTAGTAGAACTACCACAAGACAAGAAATTGGTGGGGTGCAAGTGGGGTGTTCACAGTTAAAGTAAAGCCAGATGGTTCAGTAGAGCGGTACAAAGCCCGATTGGTAGCGAAAGGTTTCACTTAAACCCACGGAATAGACTACAGAGAAACGTTTGCTCCTGTTGGGAAGCTCAACACCGTTAGGGTCCTCTTATCTTTAGCAGCAAATATGGATTGGCCTCTTTATCAACTTGATGTGAAGAATGCATTTCTGAGTAGAGAGCTAGAAGAAGAAGTATATATGAGCCTCCCACCTGGTTTCTATGCGGACAAATGGGACAATATAGTGTGTAAGCTGAAGAAATCTTTATATGGCTTGAAGCAGTCACCCAGGGCTTGGTTTGAAAGATTCGCCAAAGTAATCAAAGGCCACGGATACTCACAAGGACAAACAGATCATACTCTCTTTGTCAAGCATTCTACAAACAACAAGGTTACAATTTTGATCGTGTATGTGGACAACATAATTTTGACTGGAGATGACTTCCAAGAGATGGAGGAAATTAAGAAGATTATGGCTAGGGAATTAGAGATCAAGGACCTAGGATTCGTGAGATATTTCCTAGGGATGGAGGTTGCAAGGAGTAAGAAGGGCATCTCCGTA